CCCCAAAACCCCAAAACCCCAAAACCCCAAAACCCCAAAACCCCAGAAAATTATGACAATATTGAATTTTCATGGAATTTTTGAGAGACTTTACACCATCATTCTTCATTTCTGATCCAGCCAGGTCTGGATCTTCTCCTTATCGAGCTTGAGACCCTTCTTGCCCTGCCTGGGCTGGGCTAGAAAGTGTCAGGATTCGACTTAATACAAGTGAAGCTTACATCTCTTCTTCTGTGATTTTAAAGATTTAGACTTAGGTGAGTTGAATCTCTCTAGAAAACAGTCAATTTGTTACTGCAGTAAAATCTTACTTTTCTTTTCATACGTAATCATTGATGCATAAGCTTTGGAGAAATCCTTTCGCTTGCTCCTAGTCCTTGGTGGGTACAGATAAGGATCTGTAGAAAAGTTCCTAGAAATGAGAGTCAGGTTTTCTACAATGTCGAGCCCTCTGAATATAATTTTTGAGACTTAGTTGGGTTAATCTTCCTACTAGAGTAAACGTTCAAGCTTACTTTTTCTTCGGAATTTTGAAGCTAGGAAGTGGCTTAAATTCCATTAGGATTCTATCTGTGTTTCTTGGCCTAAAATCAATATAAAGTGTTCTTAAATACAGGAACTTGTCAGAATTAAGATAGAAAGTAGCACTTACCCTGCATTAGCTACTATCTTCGACATAAATTTCTTATTCAGCTTGCTAATTGTAGTAAATTTCTCTGTATTCATTTTAATTAATTTGATTGGCTCTTTATCTTCTAAAAGATATCAATCTTAAAAGCTGGTTTCATACTATGATGTGTCGGCTCCTGTCTTGAATTTTGGTCCATGACACTCCTCGATCTATTACACACTGGGAACCTAATCGTGGTTAACTCTGCGATAACTAATGTGACTTACCTCTGTAAAGACTTAATTGTAGCATCATCTAAAAACTTTTTCTGAGGCACTGGGAAATCCTGGGTTTCGTTTCTAAATTTAAGACTCATCACAAAGAAGTATATTTACAGTGCATCAGAAGTTGTAGAGCTTACCATTTCTTTTGTTCGCAGCGGTTTTTACACAACTTGTTGTGTCCTTTCATCCTTGAGAGGAGATGTTTCCACCTCTTATCAACTATATGGATAAGACAGGCTACAAGTACGGAGATGGTTCTTGGCTTTCTGCCTGGGAAAGGCTCTATCTGTGATCAATGTTTTTGCTATACAAACCAATCAGGATCAATGTTCAGGATTAGGAAATAGAGGATCTCTTGAAGTTATAATAAAAGGTAATCCTGATGTTGTGAAAGGTTCACATACATATGGACGAGCTTATCTCATCTAGCTTATTAAGGTTCAGCTTCAGAGTTGGCTCCTTGGTGTTACCCCTATATTTGGTTTCAGACTTTGAAGATATTTAGTAGACTGAATTTGCTTATTTTTAGAAGTTAAATAATGGCCTAAACCTACTGTTCTTCAGCAATAGTCTTCTCTCTAAAATTTATTTATGTTCTGCTTACTTGATTTTTCCAAGCTTTTCTGATTTTCTATTATTCTCAAGTGGCGAATGGATTCCTCCCATCACTGCTGATTTCTGTGACACCACTATAACCCCAGTTACTCAAAATTTCAGGAAACTCTCTTACAAGGCTTCATCTTTGAATTCTTATGTAACTTCCTCGATCACCAGCCTTTACTTGCATCTTCATAGAAGAAGGGGAATTTATGGTCTAGCTTCTGCTCCCTACAGAGATTACCTGAAGCATACCTGATCTTACTGGTATCTCAGTTCAGGATGAACTCAGTAATGTGCTTCCATGGGGAATCATGAGCTTTATTCTCCTCATAGTGGTACTTTATAGTCTCAAATTTACGTCCTTCTTTGAACAGGCTCTCCAACCGCTCTTTCTTCCTTGCCTGAATCGAACTGGGCGTATAGAAGGAATCAAAAGAACCTGTTGGGTCAAGGCTGCGTCCAACCTTTGACGGCTTTAAGTACCTGTTGCATGGCGTCTTCGATGAAGCGATTTCTTGCCTGAAACGATATTACACAAAGAATTCATGAATTACAGTCAGCAAGAAATGTAAGATCACTTTTATATAAAATTCTAAGCACATTCTTTACAGAGAGGGATATAAAGACTAAATTATCCTCCAAGCATCTTGGGAGTCTGTTTACCTATCTTTTCTCATGAATTTCAATGGAAGCACATTATTTTATCCTGAAACCTTCACTTCTCTCCACTAAGGATAAATTATATTTATGAAGTACCTGAAATTTTGTATTTGTTTCGGCCCTATTTCCATAAATTAGGAGGAATTATTTTACATGAATATAATTCAACAGAGAAAACTAACCAGGCTTGATAAGGCAGCTGTCGGCAACCTATGAAGAGCTTGCGCCTGAACATAAGTCAGGGATCACTTTCGCCTATAATCTTTAGAGGATACCTCACCTTCTGGCAGAAGTCTTATCTGAGTTGTGTCCGAACTTCAGGATCTCAGGGTTAGTCCCACCCTGTCCGATGAGGCTACGGTTTGGAGAACAATACATATTTATGAAGAATTATTATATTTATTTCTACACTTGGGTTTAAAGGTGGGGTTTTGGGGTTTTGGGGTTTTGGGGTTTTGGGG